TTATTAAAGCAATTTTTTGTAACCTCCTTTATCGAGTTCTCTAGTAGTTTTACTTGTGACAAATAAGATGAACGAGTGGTGGAAAAAATGGTACTAAAAAACTGTTCAGAAGATGCGCGTTTCACTCTTCTGTTAGAATCCCACTCAAGGCATTAATTGAACTCAAAGTTCAGCAGACTATTGCTTTTCCTTCACTGCAAGACTGATATTTCAATTGAAATCAAAAATTTAGCTTTCAGCACTGACATGCACATTTAAGTGGATTTTGTAATACCGGTGTTTTTTTATTGACGACTAAGCAAACTTCTTTTATTCGTTTGCTCCTTTAGGCAACTGATAAAATGATCTTATTCTAACGCAGGCTTTTAATCCTTCATGAATAAAAAAATAATTTATCTGGCATCACTTCTCAAGAATTCAACTATACTGTACCATTATCGTGCCAAAGTTCAGTCGACAAACATGAGCCCTATCTACAGGCAGCTTACTAATGTTCTTTCACTGCTTTACACAGCTAAGAAACTTTATAATGTATTTTTTACAGAGAAGAAAAACCAAATCGCTCCAGCACAGCGAGAATTACTTACGCTGGGTTTTCTCATGGCATTTTCAAAATCGTCTATCTCAACAAAAAAAATCTGGCCTCCAACGCCAACTGCCAGAGGAGTAGGATGATAATCACAAAATTCTCTCTTTACACTACAACATTTTTAATTGAAACGAAAATGCATTAAAACTTCAACTTCCTTTGTTCGCTGAAATTCTAGTCAGTTTGCCATATGTGATCACTGTTAGCACAAAGCAGCAAATTTCGACATTTGGCATGCAATGCATGCATTGATAACAGTTTAGAGAAATCTCTTCTACTATTTCAGCTAGTTTTTTTTAGCTTCGCGAAGTCAGTGATATTATATATGGTTTCATTCCGCTGTACTATCCAGTCAATTTGATTGTTGACACTCCAGAATTTCAAAGGCTGCGGCGAATTAAACAAATGGGCACTGTAGACCTGGTTTTTCCAGCTTCTGAACACTCGCGTTTTACACACTCTTTGGGGTTCGCAGCTAAAGCATTGTTTTAGACAATTCGATCGAAGAACAGCTATGAAAATGGTGTCTATCTGGATGCTATACATTAGCATAAACGTATTTTTAAATTGAGCACACATTTGCAGCTTCTTAAAAACTATATAAAATTTAATATTACTAAAACTTTTGAAGCGTCGAGTAAATTGAGATATTTGAGACTCAGCAATTTTGATTTATTTGTTTTTTAACAATTTAAGATTCAAAATTTTAAACTCTTAATGGATGAATCGGTGCCTTTAGGCAGCGTCAATGTTTTCATTTGTACAATTTCTTTTCCGTTATAAAGTTGAGTTTTTTTTAGTGTGTACTACCTCTCCACCCAATTCGTAAACTTGTTGGCTGAGAAACCAAACACTGGAATAGATTCTAGAGATCGGCTTTGTGTTGCAATTGCAGGACTTTGCCACGACATTGGTAATCGCTTTTTAGATATTTCGTTGCTTCACTATCGCACAAAAACCAGTTCAGTTTCCGTTGTTGGAAAAAAAAACATTAACACAATTTAATTTTATCAAACAATTTTGGCTTTCTTATAAGCAATTTATCACTGCTTTGCTACAACTGTATTTCTTGTTAGCTTTCAGTCAATTAAACTTATTTTATTAGTATTTGAGGACAGTGACAAAAGAGGATATAAAATCATCAATGATTGTATGCAGAAACTAGAGATTTTTTTGCTTTACAGCTCTCATTATTTGTATCCTATGTAAAATTTTTAGAATGCTCTATAGTTGCTGTCTGGATCATGATCATTTAAGAGAAAGCTTGCTGCTAATTCTTTTCAGCCATTGAACACAACCAATTTAGTAAGTGTATGGTTGCATTTGGTGGAGCACGAAAGCGTTTTCTTTAGATTTGTCACTAGTCTCTAAATAGTGTTGAGATTCTTTATCTCTTTTTGCTGCTAAATATTGAAAAAGTTTCACCATCTTTAGAACCAGCTTTGATCTCCCCTATTTAGACTAGAACTTCAGAAGATAGACTTATACACCCAGTGAGGCTGTGAAGAATGATACACCAGGCATTCTTTAAATTTTTTGAAAAAGTCAAACAACTTAGCCTTGACTGTTTGACGCAGACTGGCGTACCGTATTTGATCAATGCGAGCTGAATGATTTTGACAGACCACGTTGTCCAGTTTGACAAGAACCTGTACTTACTTTTCTATATCGTATTACTTTTTATTCAACAGTTTTCTGGCAAACATTGTCAGAAAAAAAGTATTTGGTACTGCGTAAAACATAGACTCTTTTTTTTTTATTTGGAAAATTTGTTGAATTAATTGAATAAACCTGTTCTCCCGAAGCCAACAAAGAGTCCCGCCTACCTCATTTGGATGACTCCTGTACAGACTCCTGTACCTCTTTTTTTTTCTTCTTTAAATTACTTTCTTTTAACATTTGCAGGTCACGGGCCATTTTCTCATCTTTATGAGGAATGTTTGAAAAGAGTTGATCAGGGAAATTCATGGACGGTGGGCATTTGTAATTTTAAAAAAATGTGTGCCAACTGTACTCCAGCATTTTCCTAATAAGTCGTTAAATTTTTTTTAGCATGAGAAAGCGTCGGTACTAATCTTTAGGCGACTGTGCAAAAATAAAGAACTCAAGAAAGCCCTAGATGAATTCCTGGAACCTGAGGACTATGTCTTTATTGAGGAGATCATAAAACCTCCGAAAGAAAAATTTGTAAGCTTGCTTTTACTCTAGTTCTTTCTAATTCCGGGTTCTGGTAAAGATTAATCTTTGAAGTAAAACTGTTGTAGGATAAAAGCGGTTGCTGGGCATATCAAGGTCGTCCCAGAGAAAAGTCATTTTTATACGATATTGTCTGCAACGTTAATGATTCATTTGATGTAGATAAGTACGATTACCTATTGCGCGATAGCTTGTATACAGGACTTGCTATTCCTTTTAACAAAGTATGGTTTTGCCTAACATCTACGTATACTTGTCTCCAATTTCGGTAGAGCGTTAGAAGGGTTCAACTTGACATTGAAATTCCCCCGGTAACTGGTGGACAGTTCACAATGCTTTGAAACTTCCTATCAAGTCGAAACGACAGTAGCTTCTGTTTTCCAACCCATCCTTCCGCCGCATTCCTTTTTTTTTCTTGCACTTTTTAGCATTTAACCAAATACTTTTTTAAAATGAAAATAAAGACTTTTAATTCTTATACAAAAAGACAGTTAATATATGGAAACGGTTATCTTCCTTACTCAGAATACTCTTAAAAGAATAATGAGTTGGGCGATGCCACTAGAGGTGTCTGACGAAACTGACAAAAACAAGAACAAATACTTTCGGTTGTGCTACGCGGAAAAGGTTTCAAAAGACTTATGGCATGTTGGCGAAAGCAGATACTTGCTGCACCAGACTGTTCTTGATCACCGAGTAACACGAGTCTGCGAACATCTGTAATTTTTGCACAAATTTTTTAATCCTTGGTATTTTTGTCTGCTTTTTGTTAAGGTAGAGGTTTTTACTGTATATAACCCTTTTTATATGTTGATTCAAATTTTCAGAAATGAATTTCTAAATAGAATTACGACAAATTAACTCGTTACTTCAAAAAATCTTTCATAAAATTTTTTTGCAGTTTGCTCAAGATTATTACGGCAGCAGCCGAGCACCTAACATTTACTGGTGACGACGGTAGGCAGTACAATTTGGCAACTATTACTAAAAATTTGGAGGCATTTTTAAAAAGCGACGACTCTATTCTTGATACTGTAGGATTATATTTTTTTTTCTTTTTTCTTAGCAATTTTTTTAAGAGCACTTTTGTTAAGATACGAAAGTCAACGACTCAGGAATTCAAGGAGGCTAAATACTACTGTGAATGTCTGTCGCGTAGATGTCTACCAAAGTTTGTTGGAAAAAAGAGCTTGATAACTTCTGAAGATGCTGAAAAGTGGAACAGTGAGGTTGTGATTATTCAATTTACTCTGCAAATGCTGTTTTATGTCGTAAAAAAGTGATCCAAAGTTTTAACTCTGTACAGCTTCTCAAAGTTTTTTTTAATGTTAAAATTTTTTGGACGATATGCAAATTTATATTTTGTTTTTACTTTCAGGAAAAAGTGAAGAAAGCTATATTACAAAAAGTTGATTCAGACAGTATATCTGAGAAAGATATTATTGTCAGCGTAAGTTGTCTGATGCTTACGATTGTCTTTCTTACTTATAATTTTGCTTGTTTGTGCTGGACTGTTTGTTGTTGTCATACGTCGAAACTGACGGAAGTTGTGAATACGAAGAGACAGTGGTAAAATGGTGTAATGATACAATTCCATGAAATGCTGTTCCATCAAACTTGTGGTTTAAAAAAGGTTTTCTTTTCTTCAGATAAGAAGCTTGCACTACGGTATGGGCATTGAAGAGAATCCAATGAACAGAGTTTTATTGTACAATCCTAAGGCTACAAAAATAGCTGCTTTTGCGTATGATGGCGAAGAAGTAACGCCTGTTATGATGAAGTTTTTCATAAAAATCTTTCCATAGTGACCCTATACGTTGTTTTTTTAGAATCGACCTTATGAGTTTTATTGACCGGTTTATAGGGAACAGTGCTGGAAACAAATTTGAGTAAAAATAGCAATGCTGGCTTCTTACATATTTATAATTCTTTATTGCAGATTAAAAAAGTAAAGCGCCGTCTAGATGGAGATGTCAGTGTTACCGTATTTTTATCGTATGAAGCTTTTAAAAGAGATGAGAGTATTGTCGAAGTGGTTCGGAAAGCTTTTAAAGTAGTCTTTGGAAATTAGTGTTATTATTGCTGTTAACGGTCACTTCACTTTGTGAAGAGTAATTTTTTCATACTATTAAAGCTTTGCTTTTTTTTGATGCATCAGCTAGAGAACGAATTAGTTATTTGGTCGTCAATAAAATTTTGTATTAAAATTTCCCCAGTCAATGCTCAAGTAAATAGTATTAGCAAAAAGTGTATAAAAGAATTATTTGTGGAAAATTACCTATAGAAGGTGAGCAAAAATGTTTTTTTTTAGAAATTATAACATTTGATTTTAAATTGGAGAATTGAAACCTGGTATAGTATTTGTAAGTGTTGGGCGTTTTGAGCTTTTTGGTTTTCTCGTTATTTTTAAATTTTATTAATCTTTTTCATTTAACACAGCAAAACTCTTGAATTCACTTCGTTTTCTTCCTTGATATTTTGGCTATTAATTGTTCTTTTGAAGAAAAGCTATAATCATCTGTGGAATTACTGTTCCATAAAGTACCTGTTTTTTGTCCTTAAAGTTTTTGCAACTTTGGTTTTGTTTAGACAAAAGAAAAAAGCTATCGGAAATAGGAATTGCACTAAAAAGAAATTTTTTTGCTTTTAAACTTTTCCAAAACTGTACGGCTAACTTGTGCGATAAAACAAAAAATATAGAGTGAAAGTTTAGAAAAATTGTGATCGTTTTAACAGTGAAAAAAAAAAGTTTTAACAGAAAGATAAAATGTTGCTTTTCAAATGTAGTGTACGTTCGGAGTAATGCAATATTTAAAGCAGCGAATACGCTGAAAAACTTGAAAAAAATTTCTTGAAAGTTTTTTTAAAAGTTTAGTATTACTACCGCTTAACGGTTTGTCACAAAGATAATCAAACAACCGATCAGCTGATATCAAAACTGTCAGTAAGAAAACAATGATTTTACACCTTTGTGTTTATCCTTCAGCCAAAGACATTGTACTCAATTGATCTTGTTGCAAAGAATTGCAATTAATTCTGTACACGATTATATATTGGCATGTCCTGTTTGAAGTTAAATTCCAAATTACGTGACGTATTAATTGTTAAAACTCCAAGTAAAAAAAAGCTTTTTTATGATTTTGACTTTTTACAATTGTATACAGTAATATAGTTTAGATCGCCGTATTAAAAAAGTGCAACTTCAGCGAAATTAGTTTGAATTTAAGGTACTATTACGTGTAAGAACAGAGAAATTTTTTTCTCAATAGGGCTTCACGGTGAACTTTATCAAACTAATGATTAAGCTTTTGTAACTTTCTTTTTAAATTTTAACACTGAGCACACCGTTTGATGTTTTTGGTGTAGTGCCTCCAAGACCGTTTGAAAGAGGATGTTCTGTTGTACTAAGATTCATGCTTTATTTCCTTGTTGCTGTTATTTCCTGCCTGTTCCCAGAAAATATTAAGATACAGTGTCGGTTTGAGAACAATAAGCATTTCTGACATCTCTTCCTGCTGCTTTTCGCAAATCGACGTTCCAGAGCTGTAGAAGTCACTCCAGACATTTGTACCGTCCACGTATATGACACCATAACCGGAGGAACGCTCTGTGATTGATATGCCATATTTAAGGAGGCGGAGATGTGGACGTTACGAAGGCGCTTGTCATTCAGTTCAATTTGACAAGGTGCGACTAAACCAATTTTCCGTACAAAATCACCATTTAAATGACAAGAGAAAAACTGAACTGAAAATGGAGCACTCCTAAAAAGCTGTAAAGAGGCAACTTTATTTTAAGAGGGGAGCCTAGATGAATGACACCCATAAACATATGTTGAAGCTGGAGAGCAAGTGAAACGTTAAAAAAAGTAGAAATTTAGTAGTCGACTTACTAGATGTTGCGGAGT